ACTCATGATTTCAACAATTGGTTTTGTCTAAAGATTTAATACTCTAATATTTGGTAGTGAAATTACTTCGAAACATTAACGCAACGATAAAAAAGTAAATAAAAACAAGTGTAAGAGAAAAATATAAAAAACGCCAGAGCACATTTTAGTAAAATGTTCATGAATTTCAAATGAAAAATGATGAACATTTTTCTTTCTCATTGGCAAATAAACATTTTTTTCTTTTCGCCTAGTTAAATAAAGATGCTGAGGATTGTAGAGGATGTGAAACGCTTTACTTTAGGTTTAAACATTTTATCAGTAACACCTAATTCATATTGTATGACACTAATCGTCTACATGTCTCTTTAATCGTGAATGCATATACTACTATATGCAGTTGTATCTTGAATCAACTGACATATTATTAGCAGCTCACGTGCAACTGAGTTTGTTCACATTTAATTTGGTTAAGCCCTTTTGTTAATTTATTTAACGAACAGAGTCATCAACACAATAACAACTTACCTATATCATTGTACCTTTATTCTTGTTACACTTGTATGAATATGTATGTTTGAGCATTGCTTACTGCCCACTCATATATTCGCTCTGCTGGCTTTACTATTAGTCGCTTGGTTGATTCGATGATCCATTCTTTTCACAATGTATACATATGTACATTTTATTCACGTTCATTGTCTCGTTGACTCGCACACTCGCTCATTCGACTCATACGTTCACTCGCTTGCCTGCTAGCTTTTCGGCACTACTTTTTCATGCTTACTTAACGTACCTGTAAATTTGGATATCTCTGTGTAGTCCAATAATAAACGTAATCAACACTTCTTATTCTCCTTCTGAATAATACACTATTGGGGCGTTATCTAGTGACGGTTACCAAGACGAACTGTACACGAATTTTAAGGATTATATTGGATACCGACCACCACAATATTTTTAAGCTCAGGAAATATGCTTAATCTACATTTCAGTCTAAACCACATATCAGCTATTGTAGTTACTTTCAGTTTTTATTATCGGCGATCGAGAAACTTTGAATTACTTGTCGACAAATCATATTAAAACTTATAAATTTTCTCTGCTTCTACTGATTTTTTGCTCTATACCCTACAGAAAACAGATGATACATATGTCGATAGTGTGTGTGCATATAATCATAAATCCCTTAAAGTCATTTACATGGTTTAACAAAAGCTTTGAATTTTTTTCAACAATCATTAATCTATATAAGTTGGTATAAGTAGTAAAACGGAAGTGTATTTTACGAACTGGAAAGAAGAATATTTTCAATCATTCACCAAAAAAGGTGAAATCGAATCACATGGCATATGATTTTAAAAAAAAAAAGAATTTCCCGCTTCAGTTAAGTGATTTCATTATTGCTAATATTACTGAGAATGTATTTGTGCACAATTATTGTCTGGTATCTGCTAAAAATTAAGTATTTTTTTGAAATTTACTTAATCTAATGTGATTCAGTAGGTATTAAAGTACTTAATCACTGTATTTTCTTTGCTCATAACTATTACTGTATTTAAACTAAACGTAACATACCCTTAAGATTAAAACAAAATGGGTAGTGGCTAACAGTCGAATCCAGGACGCACTTTTCGTCCTATTTGGGAATCGTCAGCTGGATGTACCTGAATCTTGGAGTTGATGTTCACCCTAGGACTCAGACTCAGTAGCGTTTGTTTCAAACAACATCTCGTTATCCACTTACCTACTTAGTCCTGATAGCCACTTGCTTGTGCAAATAGGACGAAACGTATGTCCTGGATTCCACTGCCACCCACTATCCAACTTTGCTTGTAATTCTTGTGAATTAAGTCAATATCGAAGTAATACGCACAGTATTTACATATGTCAGTAAGAGACTGATCAATTGCAGTTCTAAACGTCAATACGAAGATTCAAGTAAATAATACCCTTAAGTTTGTAAAATGTTAGTATACTAGACGTCGGTGTTGGGAATGTTGATATTTTTAGACAAAATGCAACAAATTTATTGTTTGACAGTCTGATTTTATAGTGATTATGGACGAGAATTTTAGTCTGCTCAAACTGCTTATAATGCCTAACTTTTTGATGAATTACGATCATGTGTTTGTGATAGTTTGTAATTTTTAGCTATTAGTTACTTATTCATCAATTTGAGATCAATCATTTAAACTTTCTGGTAAATAAATTCGACATATTTGATCGGGAATATAATAAAACTTATGATATTAGATGACTTGTATATAATTTCGAAAATTGGCTAAGATTAGATTATTCAACTAGTATAGTTGAATGTGGTAGCCATCACTCATTCGACCATTGTAAGTAATATTATCGGACTGTTGAAGTAGTTGTATTTTATCCTTAGAATTTTTCTCTGGTCAGTGAACTTTGCTGAAAAAGTTTTCGAGTTAACAACTCACTTTAATATTTCTGCTAATTTCCATAGTGAATATCTAAATAGCAATCGTTAGCATAGGAAATAATTTATGTGTTTTGTATAACAGTATCATTGTCTAGAGTTGTAGGAAGTTATCTCGATCAATGGAACAAATTGATTGCCAAGATTCTTTAAGAAATTCTATTTCGAAATACTCTTATTCAAAAGAGTATGAATTTGAATCACTAGGAAGAAGAGAAGAAATGGAAAGGAAGCAACTAACTCTAAAGTAGTCGGTTAATCAATATTTTTAGTAAGATAAATAATAATTCTACTTACTTCTCTGTAGTCAGTATTAAGTAGATTTGCCTAGTCATTAAAACCATAACAAGTGGATGTTTACACTTATACTCTAATGACACTTTTATAATTTATTGAATAATGCATAGTGATCCATGTCATATTTCTTTTGTCGCTTAATATTGATGGACTTCTATTGATGAAGTTTTAACATTGACTATACTAAGTTGAACTGCTAGACAGTTGGAAGTAGTTAAAAAGAAACCCCTTTTGTTTTAATGGATGATTTTGATGATTCAATTTCCATTTAGAAATGTAAACGTTTTTTATCAATGTATTTCATCAGATTAACATTGTTACTGAATTTTTGTATTTTTCAAAAGTGATTAAAACGCACTCGGTGAAAATGACAATACAGAAAATTAAAATAAAAAAGAATACAAATTAGCGGTAAAAATCAAGTCACAAACAACTAGAAAACAATCAATACAATGCAAACAGTTTCATTAAAGAACGTATATAATACTATAGATCTAATATTTGTCTTTTTAAAGATAAAAAAACGAGTTTCCTCAATGATCAATAATGAAAAAAAATCTAGTAAAACTGGATAAAAAAACCCGGTAACTCTAATTAAGCAGAAATAAATACGACCAAGAATTAAGTTAAAGAATAAAGAGATGGAGAGAGAGAGAGAGTAATGATTTAAGTAGTTCAATCAGGTATTTATACTCTAAACTATTGTCACTGTCTTTTCATTTTTCCAAGAAAAAAAGAACTTTCCTTTTAGTTTCAAAAAATGTCGTCATGATTATTTTAGAAAAATGAAAATAAAAAAAATGTATCGTTCTACTTTTCATATACGTGAATGTCTTAGATAATTTATTTCACTTTATTACAAAATTTAATGTTACAATTCATTGAATTTCTGATAGTACTTTGTATAGTTTTGCTTGTTTGTTTGTTTGTTTGTTTTAAATATAAAGAAACAATCAATTCAAAGATTCGGCGACTTGAATAACAGATCTTTTCTGATATTTCTATAGATTTCTATTCTTAGATGTTAATGACGTAGAAAAACAAACACTGACAGATATCATAATTTTAAAGTGACCAATTATGGTCATAAATAAAGACTTTTATTTTGCTTAAATAGAAATGAGTAAAAATAATAATATTTGAGGAAATATGAAATATTTTATATTGTTTTCAAAACTGGTTAAATTGTAAACTCTTGTATGATTCAATGATTGATTTCATGAGTCAATTAAAACTAGACCACCATAGAAAACCTGGAAGTACTGAATGGCCGTTTCGTCGTAGTATGGGATTCCTCAACAATGCGCATCCATGTTCCCGCTCACGAGATTTGAATCCAGGACCTTCAGTCTCGTATGCAAACACTTAACTTTTAAACCATAGGGCCGGTATTCAACAGTGTTAATGTCTAAAATCTACCAATCCACAATTTAAAATTTCAGTTATTGTTTTGTACTAATCAAAATGTGCTGACTAAGGTGATACAGAAGTGGATACAGTGTTTATTAAATGATAAAAACACTTAAATCACATAGTTTTTTTAACCAGTGATTACGGATTGAAAAGGGTTGTTCTTTAACTGATAAGTACTATTAGGGTAAAATTTATCGGTTATTGGTTAAAATTTTACATCCTTCATCAAATGATATGGTATGACAACTATTTCCTAATACTAACAACTAAACCAGATGCGTACAGGGTATCGTTACTGTAGTGACTATATTTTCCCCTATTGTATTATCTACTTATTTTGCGTTTTTGCTTTAATCTTTTTATATTTTGTCATGCTTCTTCCGTTTGTTGTTTCCTTATTGTGTACTGACATATTCATTATAAGGCTACAGGGAGAAAATGACAACGAATATGATAACTGACGGATAAAATCCATCTCTATGAAAATGCCTCAATGTACACTTCGTCAACAATGTCATTTTTAATTTTATAAGAAAAAGTATGATATGCTGTAAACATATACAGTTGTACAATATTTAAATAAGAAGCTGCATGGAACATAACAAACAGGTCATTAAGGTGAATATAATTAATCTGGATTAAAAGAAACTATATAATACTTACCAGGCATCTGATGACAGACTTCTAGATAGATATAAAAACAAAGAAAACACGAATGTACTGCTTATTATGCTTTAGTCTTAACTCAAATCCTAACATAGCTCTAGCAAATCTAACTCTGCATGTCTTTCATTTTCCAATTGTAAAATTTGCATTTTACATGAATATCATTAGTATTGTGGTGTATACTGCTGATTTATTTCAGCGTATGTAGTGTGTAACACCAATTGGAAGTGGGAAACATGGCAGCAGAAGTTTAAGAAGATCGACGTGAAGAGAATAGACAAGGAAATAGAAAGAAATTTGGAACTGGAAGGACCGTACAGAATGTGAGGGACAAATGATGGAAATTCGCAAATAACGTACTCAGTGTATGGTTCTCATATTTTTCAAAGGTATTCTGTAATTTTTCATTAAACACAATTGAGTTCTCGTTCACTACAGTATTTTTACATCTTGATCATTTCCCGAATGCTAATTATTCTCTACATTAGGAGGTTCTTGTTTCGTAAAATACGATTGTAATTTAGTTAATATCTGCAGCGGAATTTCTTGTTTATTATTACGTCATTTGTGTCATGGAAACTAGTTTGTTAGAATGAGAAATTTCTTTGACGAAATTACTTACTACCTGAAATTAAGTAAAGGTGTTTCATTTGATTTAGTTCTGATAATTTTTTATACCACGTATTTTTATCAAATGTCTATGGAACAATTAAAATCATTATGAAAACTCATTCCGTCAGCCTCACCTGTAAACTAAACTTCTAATTATAACTATCATTTACAAATTTGTCTTTCAGTTACAGATTTATGTATTTTTATGGGCATTAGACAGTAGAATGTGTGTATACATGACAATATTTTCAAAAGTAATTATATTGTTTCCCCCTTGCTTGTTTATGACGTAACAGTTGCTATGTGGATCGGTTATATAATACAGCGAAATAGTCGATCGTTTGGTAAAATTTTCAGTAATGATAGTAAGTAAAGTAACACTGACTGGTTTATTAAAAAAAGAAAGAAATAATCGTTAAATAACATCTTACAATAGTTTCTGAGTCACTTCATTTTGTAGCAGTAAACTACACTTAGTGTTTTGGGAAAAGTTTAACTGAAATTGCTGAATATTAAGAAACCCAGAAATCTGTATTACATAAAAACTGTATTCATCATAACGAAACATTCTATTTACGAACTGTAGTTTGCTATATAATTCAACAATTAAATGTCATCAGTATAGGGTTGTGGGGATTTTTGATTTTAAATTTATATCATTAATGGAAAAATGTTAGAACACCATTGAAAACCCGGAAGCTCTGGGTGATCGTTTTGTCTTAGTATGTGAGTCCCCAGCGATGCGCTTTCACGATTCCGCTCGCGGGACTCGAATCCATGGTGAACACTTAACCTTTAAACCACTGAGCCGGTATCCAACGTTGTTAATGTCTAACTTCAACCAATCCATTATATTGCGCGACCGTCCACTATTGTCTTCAGTGATTAACTGCCTCACAACAGATACAGTTGAACGCCACTGGTCAAGGCTTCTCACCAAAACAACAGGAAATCCAACTTGAAGCCAATCACTAGTGAGCATATGATTAAATATCACTCTATGATAATCCAGGTAATTTCATCATATAAATTTTGACTATTACATTTTTTTATTAGCCTTCAGAATTGTTTAATGATAATAATAATCGTTTCTTACAAATAATTTGCAGATACAGTTCAACGGTTCATTTAAATTTATAATAACAAGTTATAGTTGAACGATTTTTGTGTCATATAAAATTTACAAAGAAAAAAATGTGAATATTATCAATGAACAAATATTAGAAAGGTATTTAATACACTTTAATTAATCTGGAAAGTCTATTTAAGTTAAATGGAAATTCTGATGTACCTTTGTAAATACATTTGTCAGTTTTTTGTGAACACTTTGTAAAGTATAATATACTGTCCCAAAACTACAGTATATAGAAGGAAGTAATATAGAAAAAAGATTCATCATTCTATAAAAAGTAACCATTCGAATGTAAATGCCAGTTAGTTTTCATGATGAAACAAGACGTTCACGGCTTATCAAGACTCACATTTAGTTATGAATAGTTTATCACTACACTTCTGAAACGCATTTTTGTAGACTTGTTGAGTTGTAAGCAAACAATGACTACGTAAAGTGAAAAATGTTTGTGATCGTCATATTCTCATTCTACCATATCTCAAATGTTCAACGATGAAGAAAATAATACGAACTGCAGTTTTGTGTTTAATTTTCATATGGTTAAAACTTAAAGTATTTGGTACTGAAGAAGTTGAAACACCATAAGAACGTTTCAGTAACCACATTGAATTTCATTCAAATATAAGTTATTGATGAAAACGATTGATGAAACTGTTAGGTGTTTTTTCTTTCTAAACTTTTTGGACTCATTTACTTCATTAAATTTGAGTTGACTGGCTACAATTGGTAATATGAAAAAAATTCTTTGTATGTGAAATTCGTCTGGCTAAAATGAATCAATTCGATAAGAAAAGTTGTGTAAAGTGAAAAAAATTACAACACATGAGCAATAATAAGTTTGACAGTTAAAGTCTGACAATTCAGAGTGTCACGTTTATAATATTATTAATATTATGCCATTTAGTTTACAATAGAATGTAGATTATCCTTTTTGTACTTGGATGAAGACGCTTAAAACCAACCATCTATTATCAACAATGAAGTAAATATTCTTTCTTAGTAACATGCCGGCATTCACAAACGATAAGTTTCCATTAATATAGCATTGAAATCTAAGATTATTTTAAGGATATGATAGATTTTTTTGCTCAAAATTCGTCTAAATTCACGCAACAAATAGATTATTTTCTATAATTAAATCAATATATCTAAGGGAAGCTTCTCTGTGACAAAAAGCACTACAACTCTCATCATATTTGTCTACTTTTTTATTATGGTCATAAACCGTCTAGGGGAGAGATATTTTTAGTTAACGACGTTTTGCGAGTAAATAGTAATTCCTTTAAGTATGTTCGACTTTTATAAATACATTTATGATGGGTTCGAATCCCTCGAAGCGGGGTCGTGGATGCGCACTGCTGAGGAGTTTTACAATAGGACGAAGCGGCCGTCCAGTGCTTTCAGGCTTTCCATGGTGGTCTAGCTTCAGTTGACTCATGATCTCAACTGTTGAAATATTTATTCCAAATGATTTTGAAACCATATTTCACACTTACTAAGCCATAATTATGTTTCACTGTCAGACTGGTCAAATCTCATTTTATTATTTAGTTACTAGTAAGTTCAAATCATCTTAATCGTTCGATGCAGTCATCTATAGAGCTACATAAAAATGAAAATCGCTAAATAAGGATTGTTTACTAGTATGTAGGATTTAATCAGGAAAATTCCATTTTATACTTTTTTCAGTAGAGAAAAAGGATTACTATTTGAGCATGTTATAAAATATTGGTAAACGAAGGAATAGTGGATTAGAAATATTTAACCACGAATTCTGCATTATTCCGTAGAAATTCAAGTGCCTATCTAAAAACTATGTAAGAGAACATTATTAAGTATTCAACCACAGATTCCAATAATTTTTAATAAATAAAGATAATTTTAGTGGACAAACGGTTATTCCCAAACATTATTGTAATTGGTTTTCAAGTTAAATGTCTGTTATTTGAAACTTTCGAAAGTACAAAACTAATCTATTGTACAACCCATATTTACAAGAACTTTCGAAACGAGTTTAAAAATATATATTCCAGTTAACAGTAATTAATTCAACCATGAAACGTGATACAACGACGAACAAATCTGTAGAAGTGCTTTCAATAAAAATACTATTGACAATATTTGGGTCGACTTCATTTAAATACTTATAACCTTCTATGAAAGACTTGGTAAATATCCCGTTAGTAAATAAAATTTTAAAATCTGACTTTCTCGTTTGGATTATTGAGTCTCATTTTAATACAAGAAGAAAAATATGAAAAACATCGTTATTGTTATTTGATATTACAAAGATGTTCTTGTTAGTAATAAGTTTTTGATGTATATAAACTCTCTAAACTCGGTTTAGTATTGTCAATTCAGTATATTTATTGTGACTTTTTAAACAATAAATCTCTATTCTGATCATTGTCTAGTAAAACTACATCGGAATAAAAGATGAGGACTTGTCTGTCTTTTACTCCTGGTGGATCACAAGTCGCCGATCAGGATTCTCCAACCAACTCTGTCTTGGTCTCTTCCTTCCAGTTGTTCCCAATTAATTTCATTCTTTTCATGTCTGTCTCCTATTCCCGGTGCAATGTGTTCTTTGGTCCTCCTTTTTCCCTTCGCCTACAGGATTCGAATTTAGCAATTGCCTTATGATGCGGTTGGAGGATTTCTGAAATGTGTGTCCAATCTACCTCGAGATTTCTTTAATAATTTCTTCTTCAGATGAAGCTGGCCTGTTCTGTGCCAGAATAGGTTGTTGTTGATGGTATCTGACCAGTGGATCTGGAGTGACGTAAGAAACCGATTGTGTCATTGAAGAAGAATGAAAGCAATTCAGAAAAGAAAATTTTCTTTTAGACGATGTCATTTGCTTAAGCTGTACAATCATGTGTATAGTTGATTTTATTTGCTAAAATACTATTCTGTAGTAAGAGAGAATAGTGCTTTATATTAAAAAAAACTTGAGAACGAGATATCGAAAGGATGTTACGTAATAATCGGCTGGTAAAAAATTGTCCACTTGATAGCTATTAAGTACAGAATAATTAAAAGCTGTTTTGTTTGCTGATTCATAGTTAGGACAGCAATTGAGGAGTAGAAATAATAAAGTTAATTTAAAAACGATAGATTATGGAAGATAGAAAGGAAGGTTATGACCATTGAAGAATGAAGGACTAATAATATTGTTTTTGGACGCCAAAGTTAAGGTCAAATTTTTAAATAGCAATAGCCTCTTCCGTACATAAGGTTTCCATTTTCATTCAAATTGAGACGATTCTCCTGACTATATATGTTTTTAAAGGAGGTTTATGGTGAAGCATAGTGATCAGGATTGGCTAGATGCTCCAAGATTGAGCCAGGCGGAATAATTTGGAGTATCTTGCGCAGACGATTGTTTATAAATCCCTGTACATTTTCGATGGTAGTTATGGTAGTTCCCCAGGTTTCAGATCCATACAATAGAACTGTCTTGAAGTTTGTATTGAAGTCATGAGAAAACGAAGAAAATAGTTGTCATTTCTGAAGTTTGTGATAAATCAACAAAATAAATGTAATAGATTTATTTATGGTTATTTAAATCAAAATTTATTTCAAATAATAATTGGAAAAATGCAAAATTTCTTAAAAGTAGATAAATTCGTTCATCACAAATGTCATATATACAGGAAGTGATTTAGCCGAGTGGATTAATGTGATGATAGAAATATGTTAACGCTAATAAAAAATAAACTGTTGACCTCTACTGAGTTTCAGGAATATCAGAAGACAACCATTAGTTTGTAACTGCGAAGAATTACCAATTAACAAACATACAATTTTATATGTATAATAATTGAATAACTTCTATTAAGTAGTACAATGATGAAATGCATTAGACAACAAATTTTTTTTCCGACCAGGTAGAAGAATAAATAAAAGTTTAGATATTTTCTAATTCATAGATATATGATCTTAAATGTTGAATCTTAATTTGTCCTCTACCCACCAGGAAGTATTTATCAATGATTTACAAAACAACTCCGCCTGTAGCTCTTCTAGAGTTACTGCCGGTCCCAAGCCCGGGTAAAGGAGGAGGGTTGGGTATAGGGATAGCGACTCCATACCGTAGAAAACTAACTCGCTCAAAAAACGTTAACGAGGACAGGGTTGGATGGAGAGTGCTGGTGAGCGGCCTATGCTCCTACATGAAGAGTAACAAGCGTAAGTAAGTAATTTGCAAAACAAATATAAATTACTAATTTAAATTAATTCATATGAATATAAGTTTGGTTTTAACGTAAGC